GGCGCTACTCTTAATTCCGGAGTCAGTCGCCAAAGAGACACCCTTGTGTTGGCCGTCAGGCAGGCATGTTGTAGTTCAAACAGATGCTCACTTGAGTTCTTCAAAGGACGACAGATCGCCTCGCGGTCGGTCTTTGTGGGCACATCCCTACGGGTGCTGAGGCAGGAATCTACCCAGGTAAAGGAGCAGACAGGGAAAGGTCGTTTGCAGCATCCTGAACACAAAGCCATGAAAGGTTCATAGTGTCCGCATCAAAGATGCTTTCTTGCTGGGATCTCGAGTGGAGGCAGCACCCAGTTTTCCTCTTAGGCCACGTGGCGGGGCATCCTAGGTATAACAGCAACATCGGCTTGATCGGTGATGTTATTGATGCTAATAACTGCCAAGAAAAGTGGATGCCTTAGATGTCTTACATCCAGTCAGGGAAATGTTTGAGGAGCGCACTCCCGTGCCACAAGGATTCAGTTTGTTGACGGTATGACGCTTGGCCTGGAACTAAGCCTTTTAGGTCGCTTGTGAAGATGGTGCTCTTCTAGACATGATGGGAACCTTCTGAGGAATCAGGCATGACATCCAAACAAGAATGACACACTTTTATGTCAACAGGGCGCCACGAACCAAGCGTTGCGCTTGAAAGCTCTGCCTGAGCAACGCTGGATGCGCAGATGCTCTTGCCAGGTCCATAGGGTCCTGCGCTCTGAGAGACGATGCTCTTGAACGGATGCCAGTGCTGTGAGCCACTCCCAGAGGGCATGTTTGCTTGATGCATTTTTGCTTCATTTTCTTGCACTTTCTTTCCTCTCACAGTCCTGGAAACGACAGGTACCCTGTCTTCGCTCTGCATGCAGCTGGGCAGAAGATCGAGGCGGCCAAAGACAGCGTGCCAGCACAGACCGATGGTTTCGGTTTGCACTGACGTTGTGCAGGTGGACTTCTCTCTTAGTGGCCCTCTCGCCTCTCGAAGGATGAAACCTTAGTCTGTCTCCTTGCAAGCAGTCTGTGACAGAGACCGATCTGGAGCAGCCATTTTGGCACGTTTGCACCCCAAGCATCAGCGCACACAGGGGCTGAACACAGCTATGCAAGCCATCTTTGGCTGGCTGGAGCCTGCTTTTGCGCTGCGACAATGGGAAAACGTTTTCGCTGTGGCGTTGAATCAGGGGAGCTGGTGGTCATGATCTCTGAGAGGGAGGGCATTGGGAGGGCTCAGGGAATATCGATGTGGGGCTATGGGTTCCGCTTCGACCTTGGCATGGTCCGCGAGTCCCGGCTGCACATGTGCCCGAACGCTGGTTGGACGAGCGGGCTTTACACTTCCAAGCTGCTCTTTCACAAGAGCCATCAACAGCCGATATGCTCGCGACAGTAGATTTTGGATCCGCTTTGTTTACAAAACTGTGGTATACAAATGCGCTGAAAAACGTAGGGCCACTGATGCAGATCTCAATGAACTCATGTAGGCAACCTAGCTGCTTAGCAGCGCGCCAGGGATCCAGATTTGCACCCACGGGTGGAGTGAGTCAGCACGCACAGAATCCAATCAACAGAGCCAGCGGAGGGTATGGGTGCATGGAGGATCCGTTTTCCCAAGGCTGGATGCAAGTTCCAGCAGGGGCTTGGCACCGATGTCTTCGGACTAGACGCAGCACTTGCCGCCTGAACATGTTGCATTTGCACCAATTCTGAGTGTTTCTTTCCTGATTTGGGACTTAATTTGGACTCGTCGATCAGCACCTTGCTGGGAACTACTCCAATTTAGGGCAAATGACTATTCCGTTCTTATTCCGTTCCGTTTAAAGTTTAAAATTTGTCTTCCCGTGGCCTTGAATAGCAAGAACGCAGAGGCACAAACGAACAGTCTGAATATGATTGCTAGGTGGTTGAATTATCTGGACCTAACATAGCATGTGCCTCGATTCTGGTTTGGGCATGGATGTTTCGTGGGCTGGCAAGCTCCAAGAAAGCATGGATGTGAGCGGCGGCTACAGCAATCCTGTTTCCACGAACGCACACAGTCAGCAGCGCTCAGAAATCTTCCTCATAGACGGAAATCCATACTCTTTCAGGAGGTGAATGCATGGCGCCACAGGTGCGCACACTTCTGCCAGAGGTCAAGGCATTTGTAAAATGCCCCTTCGTTGACCACGTTCAATTCAGATGTTGTCGAATTCAGATGTTGCTGCGCTAAGGTAATTAGCATATAACGAGTGGGCAGAGGCAGTCGGTGATCTAGTGATTTAATTGGCCCAGGCCCGACGCTGCTCAAGTGGCAGAAGCTGTGCTGGGGACAGCCCTGGATGAATCCAGCAGGCGCCTGAGGTGCCTTGCAGGCTGACGCAGATGTTGGCAGACGTGCTGACATGTTCCATACTCGTATCTCAGGAATGGACAGTCATACAACCTCGACTGGCTAGATGCATGGATTTCCTGGCAGAGTTGCCACTTGCTGCTCATGCTTGGCGTGAAGCAGATGGATGTTGGCGATAGAGTGTTAAAGTGTCACTATGGTCTCACTGTCTCACCTCACATGCAGAAATCTTGCATTAGCCCGCTATGCCCGCTGCGAAGAAAGGGAAGCAGGCAATTCCTCGGTCGGATAACTTGCAAGGAAAGCCGCGCATGAGCAAGGCGCATCTCAGCGCGGTGCTTTACTTCAGAGTGAACCTGTTGCTAAGTGGCGACTCAACATGGTTTGGGAGCTTGTGGCTTTCCCAACTCGTCAACAGGTCTACGCAGACAAAGGAAGATCGAGCACTCAAGCAGAATCTCTTGTCCTCATGCGCATGAGTACCAGGTCAAGACATAGCATGCTCTGACATTGTGGGTGGCATCGTGCCGTCCTGAGGGATGAGAAGCGTCTACATGGCTGATCATTTTTTTCGAGTGTCTTGCGGCTGGTGGCTTCTTACTTTTTTTCTAACTTTTGCCCGGGAAATACAAGCCAACGAAGCGCATGCCGGTGGAACCTGGAGTAGGCATTTTCTCTATGTTGTGTTGATTGCTGGTGGCTGCAACAGATAAGGTAGACGCAAGCCATGCCAAGTGTGCCTGTCGTCTTGGATAAGAGGAATCGGCCAGAGCCACATTCAGGGGCAGTTAAGGTGTTAATGCGTCCTATGTACGGTCTGCCTACAGGTCTAGGGATTATAAATGGGGGAAAGGGGAAGGGATTTTGACACAATTGGCTTACACAGAAGTTTCAGTTTCATGACAGATGCCTTCGGAGGCGCTATTGGCCCCTTACGCCTTGAAGGTCAACATGTTTGTCTGTCTGTCATGCTGGGTCTTGACGAGACTGTTTGAGTCTACCATTGCCTTCGTTGTGGATCCTGTTGCTGACGCCCTGAAACTAGCTGGGGCTGCGAATGCGATGGTGCGAGCATGACAAGATAGAACATGCCAACAACATCTTATCAAGCAAAACTCTCATGAGTGCTTGTGCTTGACACCAGTTTGAATCGCTCCTGTTGCCGACCCGCTTGCTAGGTGGGCTGTAGCTCGCTTCACGAATAGCTGAGCTGAGCCCCACGCAGAGTTTTACTGATCGTGTTCCATTGCAAGTGCCTTCTAGCATCATTCCTATGAGGCTCAAAGAGAACAAGCAGTAATGACTTACTTGCACTGCCATTCCTGAAGCTCAAGTTAATGTGTCCCCTAACACTTGCATCAGATGGACCAACTGCTTGGCATGGGTGGCAGATTTGGGGACGTTTCAGCTCTTTCAGAGGGTCTGTGAGTCTGTGAAGGTCTGACAATGTCAGTCACGAGAAATGCTTGAGTGCAGGTACAGAAGGTGATTTTGACACAGTCCCTGTAAACCTGAGAGGGGCAGCCGAAGACATCCTCGCTTGCATGAACGTGATCACCTGAAAATCGTTTTGAATGTCCTGAGCCAACTGCAAAGATATTCCATGATCTTTCTGATGTTTACCAGGTATGTATCCCATGTTCAGAATCACCGTCAGAACTCTGGCATGGCTGTGCGAGCCTGGTCCCGTTTTAGGGCATGACTTCTGGGCGCGCTCATGCCCCGGCGACCCGTTGCGGGCTGCTTGGCAGAACTACGATGCAACTGTCAACAAACCTGTGCAGCGGCATCTGGAACAGGACAGGACGCCCCTTTGGCTTTAGAGCTACAACAGGCGGGACTGCTTTCCAAACTTGCGCCTATCTGCAGGGGCCATTGCCTCACGTACCGATGTTTGTGCTTGTTGCTGTCGCCTTATTGAGAGGCATTGTCAAGCCTCAAGAGCCTCATTGCGGGTGAGTGATCAAGAATGAATGCTATCCCTGGAGTTCTGCACACAGGCAGAAGATGCAACGGGGTGCCATGCCGGTCGCTGGATTTAATCAATCCTCAGATGTAGATCATGCAGTGAAGCCCTTTCAGAGCATTCCGTCAGACCAAGGGCAGCCACCAGTGCCTGCTGGCAAGGATCCCAAGGAAGGACCGGAGGCGGTGGAGCAAGTGAAGCCCTGGGAGACGAGGCTAGACCATTGTGCCTCCGAGAAGGGCGAGAGGAGGAAGGAGAAGAGGAAAAAAGATGAAAAGGAGAAGCATGAAAAGAAAAGCAAAAGGGACAAAAAGGCTCAGAAAGAGAAGGAAGTGCAGCCGCACAGCTCCACAGTTGGTCGACGTGGCGAAGTCGTTGAGGCCCCGGGGGAACGGCTATTGCCCAACGCAGCACGCCTGAGGCTGAAAAGTTGCCACGCACCCGAGTCACCACCGAACATGTGCCAACAACTCTTCCTGTCATCCACATGTCGAAGGAGCTAGATCTCGATCGATTATTGGCTGGCGGCGACATGTTCGAAGCCGGCTCCACGGTCTGCATCAGCCAATGGCAGTGGACTTCAGATGCGAGATCCGCACAGACATTTGTCTCAAGCTATGAGAAAGAGGGGCCTACAAGTGAAGCAAGGTGCCGTATGCTGCCGTCAAAATCCGTCAAAAGCAGCAAGTACATCCAAAGGAGACACAGCGTAATCTTTGCCTGCTACTAAAGCTGTAGACCTCTTGGCAAGAAAATGGAGCGCCGGGCCGGGACCTTAAGTCTCTGTGGAACTATGCGAGTAGCATTTGCGCGAGCAGATCGCAAGGCCAGCTGGGATGCGTTCCTTGGCAGCGCGACCATCGGCCTGGTGTCTGCAACAGCGCGGAGCCCAGCGGAGCGAGCCGTGCAATGCACTGCAAGCTGCAAGAGTTGATCCTTCCTGCATGAGGTCATTGGACTTGCGGTGAACCAGCCTGCAGCCGAGTTTCCCCACATCCACAAGCTGAACGGATGCTGAGTGGGAGTCGTCAGTGAGGTTGCTGGGACGCTCTGGCGAAGAGGAGGATCTAGCCTGAGGAATGCATCTAAAGCTCACCAGTTCAGAGTGCTAGCCAGAGAGCCTAGTACATGGAAGGCGCAAATGTCTAGGTGCAGTAAAACAAGCCCTGCAAGCCAATGCACGAGCAGGAGTTGGATGGCTTTCCACGTTCGCGGTGGCTGCTTTCAGTTGCCATACAGGCTCCAGCCGAAAGCCCACGCAATGTCAAGTCGAAGCATAAGAGGATGGGTATGGGCTGGCGTTTTGCAAGGCTACTGAAAAAGCACCCTGACTGCAGACTTCTTTCTAAGCCGAAGGCAGCTCAAAACTGGCAAGCAACCAGTGGTATATCGGCTTTCAGTAAATTCCGAGCTAAAATGGTCAGCGGTGTCGCGTCTGAGCCACGAGCACACCGCTACCATTCCGTGATGCCGACCCCGGCCAGCAGGGTGTTGTCCATAAACCCTTGTCTATAATCTTAAATCAACGAAAACCAAATATAACATAATTGTAAACGCTAG